ACTTCGAAATTTTACACTTCATTTGAACGTGTAACACCAACGATTCTAGGAAGTGACATTTCAACCTGTATGCCGATAAAGTTGAGGTTGGCACGCCCAGGTAAAGTTGCACAAGTAGAGAAGAAAAAATTGGTATCCAAATAGTCACTATGTGAGAATTAAGTCCAATTGCAGCTGTGTTGGTTTTGTGAAACTACGAGATTGTCAGTTATCTTCTCTCCCCCCTCCCTTTTTCAGGGCCATGAACAGTGTACTTCTAATAATGCTTTCAATTATGGGTATTCATAAGAACCCGAAAAATCAAACCAAACCAAAAACTGAACCAAACCAAAAAAAAAACCGATACTTTTTAGGTTTGGCTGGGTTTTGGTTTTGAATCTTAAAAACCAATTAAATTTGGTTTGGTTTTAGTTTTAATCAAAAAATAACCGAAAAAACCAAACCAAACTGACTATAAAATTATTTATTTTGAATTTATTATTAGACCTATATATATGTATATTTTTATATAAAATTTATAAAATTTTATGGTACATATTAGTCATTTGTATTTTTAGTCTAGTTCATTGCTATTATAATAATCTAATTCTTTGCCTTTACATTTTAGTTTGATTGGTAGTTTTGTTTTACCAATTACAAGAATTTATTTCATGTTAAAAATAATCGATTTTTAATTGAGTACTTAAATTCTTTATCACTATTTGATTCGATAATCATCAATATATCTTGAAAATGATAGATTTCTCAAAATGCAATTGATTTGATAGTGTTACATTGAAAATGTAGTCGACGGAATATGTGTTTGGTAGTGTATGTATGATATTTAAGAAACAAACCGATAAATAACCGAACACCGACATAAACCACATCGATAAAAACATACTCAATTGGTTTGGTTTGGTTCCAATATTTGAAAAACCCACTTACTTGGTTTGGTTTCTTTTTAGGAAAAAACTAACTCAAACCGAACTATGAACACCCCTAGTTGTGTTATAGCGAGGGCTCAAGTCAATTTTTCATATTTCCAAAAGTGAGCTCTACAGAAAGCTGTAAGCAAATTTGCAAGTAGATGAAAACACCGGTTGTGATAATATATTACCCTCTTAATATTGTACCTAAGAAGATAAAGTTTAAAAAAAGGCAGTAAAGAGAACAAAAGAAGANGAGAAGATAAAGTTTAAAAAAAGGCAGTAAAGAGAACGAAGGAAGATCTCAAATCTTTTACATTAAAGTTCTAGAGTACTACAAAGTATCAAAGAAAGGTGAAGATGTACTTCATATGAAGTGGAATTTATTTGGTTCCTATTTTAGAAAGGAGCAGTCTGCATCTCTAATACCCCAGACTTTAGACAGAATCCAACGTCGGCAAAACACAAGAGTGGTATCACAACCCTCTTGTGTTTTGGCGATGTGGGACTCTATCTAAAGCCTGGGGTGTTACATACACCCCCTCTTATAGACTCAGTGTCCTCGTTGAGGTTTGCCCCACCGCATGGGATTCGCCTACACTCAGCACTGAGTATTGCCCCGCCTAACTGAGATTTTCCTAAATTAAATTGAACTCTGACCCAACATCGGCAAGGCTGACACACGAGTGACTTTGATACCATTTGTAAAAGACCAACCCGCTAGTGATATTGTCCGCTCTGGGCTAGGCCCTCACGGGTTTAAAATGCATCACTAAGGTCTAAGGATTGTTAACTTATATACCCAGTATCCCTCTTATGATTTGCCGATGTGGAACTTTATCTAAAGTCTGGGATGTTACATACACCCCGTCTTATGGACTCAGCGTCCTCACTGAGGTTTTCCCCTCCACATGGGATTCGCCTAGACTCAGCATTGAGGTTTGCCCCGCCTAACTAGGATTCGCCTAAACTCAGTTGAACTCTGACACACCATTAACATGGCTGACACAAGAGTGGCTTTGATACCATTTGTAGCAGACCAGCCCGCTAGTGATATTGTCTACTCCGGGCCTAGGCCTTCACAGATTTAAAATGCGTAACTAGGGTCTAAGATTTATTAACTTACATACCCAGCATCACTCTTGTGTTTTGCCGATGTGGGACTCTTTCTAATGTTTGGGATGTTACAACATCATATTTTTATATAAAGTTTATAAAATTTTATGGTACATATTAGTCATTTGTATTTTTAGTCTAGTTCTTTGCTATTATAATAATCTAATTCTTTGCCTTTAAATTCTAGTTTGATTGGTAGTTTTCTTTTACTAATTACAAAAATTTATTTCATGTTAAAAATAAACGATTTTTAATTGAGTACTTAAATTCTTCTTCACTATTTGATTCGATTATCATCAATATATCTCAAAAATGATAGATTTCTCAAAGAGCAATTGATTTGATAGTGTTACATTGAAAATGTAGTCGCCTAAATATGCGTTTGGTAGTGTATGTCTCATATTTAAGAAAAGAAACCGATAAATAACCAAAAAAACCGAAAAACCTTTTGGTCGCTTGAGTCCAAAAATACCATACTTTTTTTCCGGGCTCGGGAGTATTCAATGGCTGTGATCATAGGAATGGTCAGGTTTTCGGATTTCCTCAGCTGAGCTCTGCAGAAAGCTGTAAGGAGAGTTGAACTGAAACTAGAAATGGTAGCTACATTTTGTTTGGTTACAGGGGCAGAAAAATAATTCGGATATAAAATTAGAGATTATTTTATCCAGCGTTTGAATAGGATTTCATTTTTGAAAACAGAACAAAGACCCATTTGTCCATAAAATATTGTCCTTTTTTCCATCCGATTTTAGGGAATTCATTGGATCGTGAAGTTGCTTCACACCTGGCCATATCGAGGGAATGATAATGAACTTGTCCCTAAAAAAAGAGAAAAGATCTAGAATGGGAGAGGATGATCATTGAGAAAGATACCTTAACAAGTTGGTCATCTGTCAGGACTAGAATGTGAGTTCTTCTTATTATTAGTGAGTTGTTGCCCCTCATACTCTTCTTTCCGATTTTGGCTCGCTCTACTTATCTAATGTAACCCCCAATCTTCCTTCATACGAAGGCATTGTAACATATATATCAAATAAAAGATTCTACTAATCTTCAAAATATTGTTTGGTTATACATTTAACTGAAATTTTGAAGATGAGATTTAAATTTCAAAAAATGGAATTTAGATGCAATCTGAAATGCTATCTTCTAAATTCATAATGATGTCTAAAGACCACCAGTTAGATGCATTGAAACAAGACAAATAAGTCATTTCCAGAATCATACAAAAGCTAATTTCCTACATCATCAGAATCTACACATAAAAGCAAGGGGAACTCTAAGGAATCGTTTGGTTTGAAGACTAGTTATTCTTGTATTATTTCTTATTGATTGTTTGATATGTTATATTAATCCTAAGATTATCAATTTTATTATTTTATCCTGGGAGAACTTATCCTGAGATTATTATTCCACAATCTGATAGTTATAAATTATCCCGGTATTATTTTTAGTCCTGGGATAACTTATCCCAGGATTAGTAACCAAACAAGAGATAAGGCAATACTATATTTTTATCCCGAAATTTTATTTATCCATCATACCAAATGACCCCTAAGGAGAATCTAAAGATAATTAAAGTCCTTGAAAACTTGAGGAGGATGTACAACATGCAATAATAGAACAAAGAAACAAATTGTTTGCTGCTAGAAAAAAATAAAATTCCAAAAATCCAACTAACTGAAATCAACAAGATTTATAGACTTGTTGCTTCGCTTTCAATGACCATCATTGAGGTACCACCATGTTCATCATCTCACTCTAATTCACTGGAGGAATCTCCTCATGCAACAAAAGCTTGTTTCACAACATTGTCATCAATATCTTTTCTCTTGAATCTTCTGTCAGGAACCGGGTTCCTCTTGGCTGCTTTGCCTGTGTTATGCTTGTAATGATCTTTCTTGTACAAAGGACAACCTTTGATGAAATATCCTGAATTTCCACATATATGATACAAGTCATAGCCTTTTGATCTGCTGGAGCTACCCCTTTTTGGAATGCCTCCATTTTTGCGCAACATTTTATGGAATCTTTTTGTTAGATAGGCCATGTCAGCATCTTTGTCTCTTAAGTAAATATTGTCAGCCTTGAGGACTAGGTTCTTCTCCCTTTTGGGTTCTCTTCTTTCATGGTCCTTCTTTTTCTTCATTTCATACATCTTCAGATTTCCAATGAGTTCATCAATGGTCAACTTTTGTAGATCCTTTGTCTTTGTGATAGCATTGACCTTTCTTTCTCAGGAACCAGGTAGTACACTAAGTATTTTCTTGACAAGTTTGTTCCTTGAAATGATTTCTCCCAAAGAGTTGAGCTCATTGATGATGGAGGTGAATCGAGTGTGCATATCCTGAATGGACTCATCATCCTTCATCATGAAGAATTCATACTCAGTGGTGAGCATGTCAATCTTCGACTGCTTGACTTGAGTTGTTCCTTCGTGCGCTGTTTGGAGAGCTTCCCAGATCTCCTTGGCTTATTGACAGGCAGAGATCCTGTTGTATTCGTCTAGTCCAATACTACAGACAAGGATCTTTTTTGCTCGAACGTTCTTCTCTATAGCTTTGCGTTCAACATCATTGTACTCCTTCCTTGTCTTGGGAGCTGTCACTGCTGGTTCATCAATGCTCTTCATAGGGACGAAGGGTCCATCACAGATAACATCCCAGAGCTCTAAATCTTCAGCCATAATAAAATCATGCATCCTTGTATTCCATTATTCGTAGTATTGTCCATTGAACTTTGGTGATCTATAGGTAGATTGACCTTCTTCAAAGTTTGGTGGAGCAGTCATGAGGATCCTTTCTAGGTGTTAGCCTGATAGAAAGAACCTGCTCTGATACCAATTGATAGAAACATAAGAGTCCACCAAACTATATAGAGAACCTAGTTCTCTATCAGTTCCCACACAATACACACAAATAAAGATAAGTAAATGACACATCAGAGTTTTACGTGGAAAACTCCCAGCTCACGCAATTAAAAACCACGACATACAGTTGTAGGATTCCAACATCACTACTGAGCAAACTTCAGATACAAACTTTTGTAACCTAGGAATTAAACTCTTAATCCCCCACTCACTTGTAATAACTCTATTACAAGCCTGTTTGTAATAACTCTGTTACAAAGCTCACAACTCGCCCAACTCTAGCCAAGACACAAACATAAGGTTTGTGGTTTTACAACAGATTTCCTACGCAATGCTTCTAGCTAAGCTAAGTAGGAATTACAAGTAGATTGCTCTAACAAAGGTACAACACAACGAAGGACATATGGTAATGCAGTGATGGAAACTGGTCCTTGTTCTGTTGTTCTTCGTTCTTGAAAGCTGGAAGCCACTTGCAGATGGGAACACACTAAGAGAGAAGCTTGATAATTTTCTAAGTGTTCAAGTGACTTGTTTTCTCTTGCATCATGTTGATAATATACAAGTGACGTCACTTGGATGATGAAAGCAATTATCCGGTACTCATAAAGTGACTCCTGCACTATTTGCACTGTTGTGTGTGTGCAGAGGAACAGTTGCAGTGACTTTATAGCTTTGGGGAGTTGACTGGTATAGTCAGCAAGAGAACTGATGTCCATCTGTTCCCTCTGTTATTTCTTTGACTCTGATTGTTGGAACTTGTGCCCGACTTGAGACTTGTTGTTCTGAGGATGTGTAACAGGTTCCCCATCTGGTTCTTATTATTATGTTTGTTAGATCATCAAAATAAAACAGGGCACATAACCTATTAGAAAACATATTGTAGTATCTTGTATTTAGTGTTGAATTTGTTTTTCTTTATCTTTTCTAAGTTAATGAACAATAATTTAGTAATAGTATATAGAACTTAGAGGGGGGGGGGGATAAGATATTCCATTGGCAAGAAGCCAATCATCTTCTTTATCCTTGTATCTAAGTTTATAAGCATTATCATTTTCTTGACATGTATAAAATAAGTAATTCACCAAAAAAAATTCCAAAATAGTAATAAAAAACTCCAAAGATCACTTCAGCAAAGTAGCAAACATCTATCGATTCAACGACAGTGACTGAGACTCTGCATGGATTGCTTAATAGACCTTTAATCTTGATCTTATTTGACAAAGTTTTTTATATTTTTGTACATCCTTTCGATCTCTGACTCATATTCATGAAATTTTCAAGGAGTTAGCGCGCCAAATTTTATCGTTATTAGCTGACATATCTGTATTAAAGATAGTGGTGCCCCCATTGCCCTCAAATCCTGAGTCTGCCTTTGTACACTAGAGCTATGATAACCACATAAATGACATGTTTTGAGCCACAAGTTTTACCATTCTTCATGTTTTTCTTACTCCATTCCGTTTCAAATTTTCACATAAATTGAAGCAAAGCGAGTAGCAGATTAACTAATTATAACAGTACAGGGCAAGCATGCCTTGATGTCTATGGCATTCTAGTACGTGCCATAGGGGGATTTACCAAAACGGGCTCAGCGGATACCTTCACCGATATTTTTTAATTTGAGCGGTTGGATGAGCGGCTATTTGGGATAATTCTTCTAAGGAAAACTAAGAGAAACTACAGCAATACAAAGATAAAGTAGCATAAAAACAGACCCCAAGGCTGGAAGACGAAAGGCATTAAATGCAAATAAATTGAGTTTTTCGTCCATTCAAGCCAGAGCACACACATGAATGCTGCAACAATACAAATCCTTAGAGCACAAAACAAAAAATTTAAATTCCAATGGTACCCTTGCAGCTAGTAAGCATGCTTATCATGAGGTGACTAGTTTTCATTTATAAGAAGGCATTATACAATAATGGAGAAATTTGTCAAAAAATTATCCCTTTCCATTTTACGCCATCTGTGTCATATAAAGATGGAAAATATGTCAAGAACAGGTTAATCCCTTAAGACATCACTAATACCACATTAGGTCCTCACATTTCTGTCGTCAGAGATCTAAACTGGTTAATCCCTTAAGTCTTGACATGTAGAGAAGGTTTCATCAACTAAAAAGTCGATCACCATAAGTAAAAATGATTTTTTTTTGTTTGGGGGGGCACATCTCGACAACTCGTTTTCTATTTCCATTTCTAATAACTACTAGACCAACTATTTCACTCTCATATTCACCTAATTGATAGTTCTTTGATTTTTGCATCCCTAATGTATGTACTACTTTTAACTCATACCCTTATCCTTTTATTTTTTTTGAATTACCGCCTAATCAATTCATTTCTTTTAGGGAGGAATAGCAGTTTTTCTCCCTGTGTTAATTTAGGGTAGCACATTTAAACTTTAAGTAAACAAAATGACTGCTTATATTCATTTTTCTAACAGGGACTAACAGTCCAAACCAAATGTTTACTACTGAAAACGGCTTTTGGGTATAACAACTAGAACACTTTTAAAAAGACCTAATTATTCGAAGAGGAAACAATTAGAGCTCTTTCCACGGTTAATTTGGTTTTATAAAGACTAAAAAAAAATTTGATTGAATAAGTGATCCATTACTTTGTCACTGGTATCGCAGAGTTCAGAAATTCCAACACCAACCACAAGGATTCGTGATTTTAGTTTTAATGCATTAATCCACAGTTGCAGTTTAAGGTTAAAATTTCAATTTCATTCCTCGGGGAACTTCTTTCTTTCTCTTCCTTTATTTTATAATTGACAAAAAAATAGTTCATATTTTGCACCTTGAAAACTGAACTCTTTCACAATTTTGCAAATATATGAATCTATTAAGGAGTAAATTGTAAAATAAAAAAAGGATTAGGTGTGAATCAAAAAGTAACGGATAGGTTAAGGGTATAAAATTCAAATAACTCCCTATTTGATCACCCAACATTTGTAAACTTTGCACCTTAGAAGACATGTAGCAAATGTATGCAAGAACTGAATATATTTAGCTGTAGTTTTAAATCCAGACGACATACCTTTGCCCGCTGCGTGCTCCCAATAGTAATGTATGCTATAGACACGAAGACCATCTCCTCCTCTATTCCACTCTTTAGCAAGCCCAACAGGCAATCAAGGACGTTACGTTTAGCAATGCTCCGGGTTGCGATCATCATCTTACAAAATTCGGATCTTCACTTAGTTAGTAGGAAAAAATAGTCCCACGCAGTCTAATTTTCAAATAAGAGGAATACCCATTGAGAGCAAATGCTCTATATGTGAAGAGTAACCCGAGGACACAAACCGCCTATTTCTACATTGAAAAATTACTCCTCAATTGTGGCATATGTTTTTCATCAATCTGGGCTCAAAATGGACAATTCCTAGAGATATCTACGAAAGTAAGGCCCCATTTTGAAGTTTACAAGTACAATTTTTGAGCGTTGAAGATGCTTTTCAACCTAAATATAGACAACACCAAATTTTTCTTCTTCCTTTTTTTTTCATCTTACTTTTTTTTCTTCTTTTAATCAAGGACAAGTTTCTTATTACCAGCTTACATACATAGAAATTTTGTCCCAAGATCTAAAAAGGCCAAGTTAGTGAATACCATGTATAAAAAGACTAAAAAATAATGTAGGCAAAAAATAAAGAATGCAGCCTAGATAGCGCTGGAGCTGGGAGGTGGACTTGCCCGTGACGTGAAGATGAAAAAGAACATATTTTTACACCTTCAGTCGAACGATCTTACTGTATGAAGACTTTTTAAAAATATTGTGGTGGACAGCTTTACCAAATGGGTGGGTTCTTGAGAGGCTATTAGAAATTAGGTAGTAAACACATCAAATTTGACGTTGAATCAGGAACATGCTAAATTATAATCTCACTACATGCTAAATTGTTCCTTTTTTCATTGGTTAGTTCATCAAAGTGTTTTGGTTCAACCACGAAAGGTCCTTATACACGCGTACCTCTTTTTGGTGCTCATCTCCCAGCTCGCTAATACATATAACTGTATGGATGGCAGGGGGGACCACAAGACACTAAAGACAAGGCACAAAAAGATGATCAACACATCACTGTCTACCTTGAGTTCTCTCTTCATAGAACTTCAGTAAGTAGAGGAACAAGTTCACCAGAGTCTAGAGCATCTTCTAGAGCAGTGATTATACATGTGAATAAAATTTTTAACGTAAGTGATATGCGAGTTCAAGAAAATCAACAGAAATGAAGTTGGAGCAGTTCATACCATAATCGAACAATTTTTGGAGTTGTTTGACCACCAACAACTTCATCAAATCGCAATCACCATACTTAAGAACATCAACTATTGATGGAACATCCAACTCTAAAACCAACAAATCGGTTACCATTCAAAACCACATTCAGACTATCGTTGGAAGCAAAATACAATCAGCTTGCTAATCAACACACCTTCAGTGTATACAACATAATGGGTCTAAAACACACTGGATCTGAACGCTTAGGGTCAATCTACCTGGTTTCTTAGAACACAAAATGTGGGGCTCATACCTCAGCTACTAAAGTAAATAAAAGAAAAAGAAAGAGGAGTGATTGATGGAAAGAAAAACAAATTGTGGGCGCCAGTGGTTTGCAATTGCAAATTGCAATGAACCAGCTTATCTGATTGGTTTCTTGGGCAGCTATGATTGCTATAAATAGCTGCCTCATTCTCTCAATTCTAACACACCAAAAAAATGAGAGAAGCTAAGCAGAAAGCAAAGCAGTGAGAGTAATCCACAGATTATTGTCTGTCAGATAAATAGTGAGTGGTAGTAATATTATAGTGAGGTGTTTAAAATAAAGAGTGTTATTTCTTCTGAAGTTGTAGTAATCTTTTGACACTACCAAGTTGTAATATTATAGTAGTATTATATTTCTCTGCTAGGGTATTGTATTTTACCCCAATAAAAGATTTTCTCTTGTATTATTATCTGCCGTGGATATTATTCATGGGCGGGATTATTATTTTTCCCAACAACGTGATATCAAAGCCATGGTGAATAATGGTCCGCTATCTTTTCAGTACCCCCGTCTAACAAAAGATAATTTTGAGAAATGGTGTCTACGTATGAAAGACATTCTTGGCTCTCAGGATGTATGGAAAATCGTAGACAGAGAGTATGCAAAACCCGATAATGAGGAAGCTCTGCCTCAAAATGAAAAAGAGTTCTTGGCAAAGACGAGGAAGAAGGATCAACAAGCCCTCATGCTCATCCATCAATGTTTGGATGATACCATGTTTGAGAAGGTGCCAGATGCTACCACCTCAAAGGAAGCTTGGGGGATTTTACAAAATTCTCTTCAAGGAGTTGACAAGGTGAGGAAGGTAAAACTTCAATCTAAGGGCTGAATTTGAAGTCTTAAAAATGAAAGAATCTGAATGTATTTCGATTATTGTTTAAAAGTGAAGGCTATTGTAAATCAATTAAGAAGATACGGGGAGGACATAGAAGCTGTTTGTGTAGTAGAAAAGATCCTTCACACTTTAACACCTAAATTTGATTTTGTGGTGTGTGCTATTGAGGAGTCCAAAGATTTAGACTCTATGATGGTATAGCAGTTGGAGGGCTCTTTACAGGACCACGAAAAAAAGATCAAAAGGAGACAAGAAGTGCCATTGGAGCAACTTCTTAAAACTCAAGCATCCTTCAAGGATTATAGAGGTGAAAAGAGCTATCGAGGGAATGGACGGGGATGATGCCGTGGCGGTCATGGAAGAGGAAGAAGTAATGGTAACAACTTCAACAATGAAGTTAAAATCCACCAGACATTCAGAGGTCGTGGTCGTGGACATAGAGGAGGAGGAGGACGTGACTACTACCAAGAAAATAATGAATAAAGGTATGACAAATAAAACATTGAGTGTTATAATTGTCATAAATTTGGCCATTACTCTTTGGAATGTCATAGCAATATTGAAGAAAAATCTAACCTTGATGACGACAAGAAAGAAGAATATGAGTCAACGTTATTGATGACACTCAAGTAAGAAGACAGGGATGATTATAGCTCGTGGTATTTGGACAATGGAGCAAGCAATCATATGTGTGGATGAAAAGAGAAATTTGTGGAGATCAATAACACGGTGAGAGGCAATGTGTCCTTTGGAGATGCCTCAAAGATTCAAATCGAAGGGATATGTACGATTCTGATATCTTGTAAAGATGGTAGTCACAAGCTAATTCAAGATGTTTATTATGTGCCAAAATTAAAAAGTATTATTTTGAGTTTGGGCCAACTTCTTGAAAAGGAATATGACATCCACATGAAAAATATGCATCTTTGGCTTAGAGATTCAAGTGGAATTCTAATTGCTAAAGTGCACATGTCAAAGAATAGATTATTTTCTCTTAATCTTTATACAATTGATGCAAAGTGTTTGAAGGCTAATGTGCAAGATGAATCATGGTGTTGGCACATGCGATTTGGGCACTTGAATTATGAAGCACTCAAATCAATGGGAGAAAAGAACACGGTGCATGGGATACTATCAATCAACTATCCCAATCAATTGTGTGAAGCTTGAATTCTTGGAAAACATGCAAGGAGGAGTTTTCCAAAGGAGTCCATGTCAAGATCAACCAAACCGCTCTAGCTTGTTCACACTGATGTATGTGGGCCAATCAATCCAACGTCCTTTGGTAAAAGTAAATATTTTCTACTCTTCATTGATGACTTTAGTAAAAATACTTGGGTTTATTTCTTGAACAAAAATCTGAAGCTTTTGTTGTTTTTAAAAATTTCAAAGTACTTGTTGAAAAATAAAGTGGCTATGAAATAAAAGCTTTTAGGTCTGATAGAGGAGGTGAATTCACTTCAAAAAAATTTAATAAATTTTATCAATCTCATGGAATTCGTTGCCCTCTACCGGTGCCTTATTCACCCCAACAAAATGGAGGTGCAGAGAGAAAGAATCAAATGATTCTTAATATGGCTAGATGTATGTTAAAAGCTAAAAGTATGCCCAAGGAATTTTGGACAGAAGCTGTATCTTGTGCAGTTTATTTGAACAACAAGTCTCCAACGAGGAATGTTAGAGATCAAACCCCCCAAGAAGCATGGAGTGGAAGAAAGTCAAGTGTCAAGCACTTGAAAATTTTTGGGAGCATAGCCTATGCTCATGTGCCACATCAAGGGAGAGCGAAGCTTGACGATCGAAGAGTCAAGCATGTGTTTGTTGGCTATGATACGAGTTCAAAAGGCTTCAAGCTATACAACCCAAGTAGCGGCAAGATGGTGGTGAGTCGTGATGCTGAATTTGATGAAGAATTGGCATGGAATTGGGAAGCTCAGGAAGAAACTTTATATGATTTTCTTCCATACTTTGGTGATAAAGAAGAACCAGAGACCATGGAACTTGTGCAGGGTACAACTCCACCTTCTTCTCTAACCAATGTTGCATCTCCTTCTTCTTAACAAAATTCAAACGAGCAACCACAAAAGACAAGGAGAATTCAAGAGCTCTATGATGGCACGGAAGAAGTTACTAATTTTGATTTTTTATATTGTCTCTTTGCTGATAGTAAAGCAATGAACTTTTGATGAAGATGTTACAAATAAAAGGTGGAGACAAGCCATGGAGGAGGAGATCGAGTCAATAGAGAAGAACAACACTTGGGAGTTAACAACTCTTCCCAAGGGTCAGCGTGCAATTGGAGTAAAATAGGTATACAAGACAAAGAAGAATGCTGATAGAGATGTGGAGAGATACAAGGCACGACTTGTAGCTAAAAGGATACAAGAAAAGGCAAGGCATTGACTATGTAGAAGTTTATGCACCTGTTGCTTGCATGGAGATGATTCGTTTGCTGATCTCTTTGGCAGCGCAAATGAAGTGGAAGATTCATCAACTAGACGTCAAGTCAGCCTTTTTGAATGGTTATCTTGAAGAAGAAGTCTATGTTGAACAACCATTGGGCTTCATGGTCAAAAACCATGGAGATAAAATGTTGCAGTTAAAGAAAGCTTTATATGGATTAAAGCAAGTCCTATGAGCATGGAATAGTTGCATCGACAAGTATTTTCAAGACAATGGATTTACTCGTTGTCTCCATGAATATGCTATTTACTTTAAAGTTCATACTAATGGAGATATCTTGCTTTTTTGTCTATATGTTGATGATCTTATTTTCACGGGTAATAACCCAAGTTTGTTTGAAATTTTTAAGAAAGATATGTCCCGTGAATTCGAGATGACAGACGTAGGGCTCATGTCATACTACTTGGACCTAGAAGTGAAGTAGATGGAGGATGGAATTTTCATCTCTCAAGAAAGCTATATGAAGGAGATCTTCAAGAAGTTCAATATGCTCGATTGCAACCCCGTGAACACACCGATGGAGAGTGGGACAAAATTGTCCAAGTTTGATGAAGGAGAAAATGTCGATCCCATATTTTTCAAAAATCTTGTGGGAAGTTTGAGGTACTTGAATTGTACCAGGCCAGATATACTCTTTGCAGTTGTAATAGTAAGACGTTTCATGGAAGCTCCTACCTCCACCCATTTGAAAGTCACTAGAAGAATTCTTCGTTACCTAAAAGGTACGATTGACTTTGGACTATTTTATTCTTCTTCTAGTGATTTCAACCTTATGAAATTTTGTGATAGTGATTATGCGGGAGATATTGATGATAGAAAAAGCACAACTGATTTTGTGTTTTTCTTGGGTGAATCTGTTATTTCTTGAAGTTCAAAGAAATAATCCATTGTTACTCTCTTGACTTGTGAAGCTGAATATATAGCAGCAACATCTTGTACATGTCATGCTATTTGGTTGAGAAGATTATTGAAGGAGCTCAATTTGCCACAAATTGAAGCTACAGAGATTTGTATTGGCAACAAATCCGCACAGGCACTTGCCAAGAATTCGGTGTATCATGATCGAATCAAGCATATAAAGAAGAAAAAGCCTCTCAAGTTTAAAGATTTTCAGAGATTGAGAACAAGATTTGGAATGAAGAAGAAAAATCAAAATTAAGGGAGAGATTTGTTGGGCTCATACCTCACCTACTAAAGTAAATAAAAGAAAAATAAAGAGGAGTGATTGACGGAAAGAAAAACAAAATGTGGGCGCCAGTGGTTTGCAATTGCAAATTGCAATGAACCAGCTTATCTGGTTGGTTTCTTGGGCAGCTATGATTGCTATAAATGGCTGCCTCATTCTCTCAATTATGACACACCAAAAAATAAAATGAGAAAAACTAAGCAGAAAGCAAAGCACTGAGAGTAATCCACATATTGTTGTCTGTGAGATAAATAATGAGTGTTAGTAATATTATAGTGAGGTGTTTAAAATAAAGAGTATTATTTCTTCTGAAGTTGTAGTAGTCTTTTGACACTATCAAGTTGTAATATTATAGTAGTATTATATTGCTCCGCTCGGGTATTGTATTTTACCCCAATAAAAGATTTGGTGTTGTTGTTACTCTCTTGTATTATTATTTATCGTGGATATTATTCCTGGGCGGGATTATTATTTTTTCCAATACAAAAGACCAACATACACTCCAATATTCTAAGTTTTACCCATCAAAAAGCTAAATGGGTATGCACAATGTACTAATTAAATAAGAAGAACAATAACAATATAAAAAAAACCACCTCATCGTAATACGCCTC